TACATACATACATGTATACATGCATACATACATATATACACACACACACATATATATATATATATATATATATATATATATATATATATATATATATACATACATATATATGTATATATACACATACAGACATACATACATGTATACATGCATACATATATATATACACACACACGCATATATATATATATATATATATATATATATATATATATATATATATATATATATATGTATATATATATATATATATATATATATATATATATATATATATATATATATATATATATACATATGCATACACTCACACACACACTAATAAACACACACACACAGACACACACACATATATATATACATACATATATATGTATATACATGTATATATATACATATATATATAGATAGATATATGTGTGTCTACGTATGTATATATATGTGTATATATATATATATATATATATATATATATATATATATACATACATATATATATATACATACAGATATACACACACACATATACAGTAAATGTAGCATATTCATCTAACAAGGATGCGAGATGTTACATCACAATAACACGAACAATAAATGCACTACACGAAGCGTATCGCAGTCAGCTTTCAAATATAGAATCTGACACGGCAAACAGCAAGCCATTATTCCAACCGAGATAATGAGAAGCCAACAAAATAAGTTCTTTCTGATAGCACGGCCAGACGAAAGCTTGGATAACGACCCCCACTTGGATAACAACCCTGGATACGACCTTGCTTGCATAACGACTCTCACCTGGATAACGACCCTCGTTTGGACAACGACCTCCACTTGGATAACGACCCCCATTTACATAACGACCCCCCTGTATCAACGACCCCCACTTGGACAACACACGCCCTTTCCTGGACGCACACTTGGATAACGATCCTCCCTTGCATAACGACCCCACTTTATCAACGACCTCCTCTTGCATAACGACTCTCACGTCGACTCCCACTTGGACAACGACCCTCCCTTGCAAAACGACCCCACTTAATCAACGACCCCCAGTTGGACAACGACCCCATTTGGACAACGACCCTTGCATAACGACCCCACTTTATCAACGACCCCCAGTTGGACGACCCCATTTGGACAACGACCCTCCCTTGCAAAACGACCCCACTGAACGACCCCCACTTGGACAACGACCTCCCGCAGCATAATAAGCATGCCAGCCCACATGAACCTGTTGCTTACCTCATTACATTCCACAATAGGGATTAAAATGAGACGAAAATACTTCACAATGGTACTTGTTTCCTCATTAGTCTTTTAGTCCATTTCCTTATCTCCATTTCTGTTCTTAGGAATCCCTCTCATTTCCCATTATCCATTGTTATTGTTTTTTTTTCTCCTTCCCTTTCATGTTTCGAGAACTTCTGTCGTTTCTCATTTCCATTCAGTGGTTTTAGAACTCTTGTGATTTTTTTTTTGTTTTTGTTTTTTGACATCCCGTAACTTTTTTACTCTGACTTGTCATTTGTCATTTTGTCATTTCTCTGGGAGGTTAATCATTAATTCTTTCTTTTCCTCACTTCCATCTTGATAATCTTTATAATTTCTCTGAATAAACAACCATTAACCTTTTTTTCTGATACCTTTTATTTAACTCTAGAATTATGTTTTTAGAACATTGTAAGAAGATTTCAGAACTCTTTTTTTTTATTTTTTATTTTTTTATTTTTTGGAACGGAAGGATTTCGAATGTTTTAAAACCTTTTAAGATGCTTTTAGAAAGAAAGAATATAGAACTTTATGGAATCTTTTGAGAGAACATTTTTGAATTGGAAAATCTATAACTCTTTAGAATCATTTCACATTTTTTTTTTTAGATTAAAAAGTACCTTAGGGACTTTTTAGATTAAAAAAAATAAGATATAGTCTTGTTTGAAGGCTTGCTTTAACTCCTATATTGACTTTTTTCTCTCTAATGTTTTTCTTGAATTGTCCATTATCATTCACTTTCGAATTTTCTTATTTTTTCTTCCTATTTCCCTTCATTTTTAACTTTCTTTTCACTCCTCTCTTATTCTCTTCTGTTCTTCATCCCCTTTCCATCGTTATTCCCATCTGTTCCTCTTCCTCTTCCATTTTATCGTTTTTTTTTTCCTTTCTTCTCCTCCCTTTTCCATTCTTTCGCTTTTCCTCTCCTCCTCTTCTTCTTCCAATCTCCCAATCAGTCTTCTTCTTCCGTCTTTTCGCTCTTTCTCTTCTTCTTCTTCTTCTTGTTCCATTTCCTCCCTCTTTCATCCATCTTTAAAACGCAAAGAACTGAATCTCGGCCAAGGGGTCATTCAAGGTCACAAAAGGTCGTTATGTCATGGCGACCTGATTTCTGCCTGACCCTAACCGTTCGTCGGGGTCATTTACCCTTTTCCCTGACCTTAGCTGTTCCCTCTTCCTCCCTTTACCTTTCTCTTTCTCTTTCCTTGCTTTCTCTCTTCTCCTGCTCTTGACCTTACCTTCCTCTTTCCCTCCCTTACACTTTCCTTTATTCTTGCCCGTCTTCTTTACCCCTCTCCCTTGCCCCTTCATCTATCCTCTTTCCTCTCCTTAGCTTCATTCACTCTATTCGTTATTCCTCCTCTTCCCCTTCTCCCCTGGACTCCCCGAACCGTACCCCTGGCCTTCCTTTTACCCAATTCCTCACACTTTCCCTTTCTGTTGACTGTCTCTTTACCCATCTCCTCCTTTACTATTCCCTTTATCCCTCCCTCGCCCTTACCACTCTCCTCTCCTTACCCTGTCCTCCTTCCCTTCCCTTCCCTCTCTTTACCCTACTCCTCTTCCCTTCCTTTCCCTCTCTTTACCCTACCCCCTTCCCTTCCCTTCCCTCTCTTTACCCTATCCCCCTTCCCTTCCCTCTCTCTCTCTCTCTCTCTCTCTCTCTCTCTCTCTCTCTCTCTCTATCTATCTATCTATATATATATATATATATATATATATATATATATATATATGTTACCCTACCGCCCTTCCCTTCCCTCCCCCCTTACTTCTTCTTCCCCCCTCCCACTCCTCCCTGCCCTATACCCTCCACGACCTTAAAGAACTTTCCATTGTCGCCGAGCGAACGTGCGGTAAGGTCTATCTACACGTTGTAAATAACCGGGATTTCCGTCCCTAAAAGCCAATAAGTTTCTACAAAACAGCACTCTCTTGCCTCAAAGGAGAGTCGGTTCGAAGGTCACCCAAGGTAGGGGAGGGGGAGGGGGAGGGGGAGAAGGGAGGTCACGGGGTCAACGCAAAAGGTCGGTGCGAGTTTCCCTCAAAAAAAAAAGACAAACGCGTGTTGTTATCATCATTAAAAGACAAGACGAACACTTCGAATGAAAACAGTCATTAAAAAAAGAAAAGAAAATGACTAAAACCGAAAGGCAAATTCAACCCAGAAATAAAATAAAGATAAAAAAACAAGAAGAGATTAGATAAAAGGCCTGTTTTAATCCCCGAATGATTTGTGAACTTTCGCTGACGGAGTGCATTGAACCGCGGTGATTATTGTTAATTTCTCTGCATCTATATTCCTTCTTTATCTGCTTTTTCTTTGTTATTCGCGTTCTATCTATCTATCAGTTTTATACGTTTGTTACCAATCTATTTATTCTTTGTATTACTTCATTATCTGTCTATATTTTTTGTCTATTAATTATTGTTAATTTCTCTGCATCTATATTCCTTCTTTATCTGCCTTTTCTTTGTTATTTGTGTTTTATTTATCTATCAGTTTTATACGTTTGTTACCAATCTATTTATTTTTTGTATTCATTATCTGTCTATATTTTAATTATTGTTAATTTCTCTGCATCTATATTCCTTCTTTATCTGCTTTTTCTTTGTTATTCGTGTTTTATCTATCTATCAGTTTTATAGGTTTGTTACTAATCTATTTATTTTTTGTATTACTTCATTATCTGTCTATATTTATATTAAATTTTTAACTTTTAATTATTTAATTTCTTTTTTTTTGTATTTTATCTTTTGTTTTGTTTTTCATCTTTAAATTTTCTTAATTCTGGTGCTGATGCTGTTTTGAGAAACTATTTATATCAAAATTATAGTT